AGCCCTTGTTGCGAAGAGAAGGAATCTAGCAGGCTTTTCACAAGGTTGAAGTCCACATCTACTGCCCTATACCCCTCATCATCTGATGATCCCCCCGCCTTTTTCCTTCCCTGCATCTTTATTTTTTTCTCGATGGAATTAGCCAAACTGGTAAGAGTCTAGATAGAAGAAAAAAGCAACATGGGTTACTTACCTCGTTTGTATTAGGAGGATGTAGATTCGCACGGGCAAAGCTTTTCTCTAGAGTTGTGTTCTTCAGTTCCTCCTCCATTGCATCCGTGTAGGAGTGCATAAATGTGCCCTTGCCACCCTCTTCCTCGTTTTCCTCAAACAACTCTTCCCCTTCACTTTCATCATCTTCAAGCTCATCTGTATCCAAAACCATGCCCAAAATTACAACTTCATCCCAGGGGAAATATAAAGGAAAACACTAGAATCTGCAATTGTATCCAGCAGGGTTTCTGTTGGGACATGCACCGACATGTCTGTGCATTCAATCCTGTTGCCAAATGGAAGGGGGGAAAAATAGCAAAAGCCAGAGAAGGAGATACCAAAATCCATGTCTGCGTTAGATCCTTCTTCATCATCAGTATCTTCAGAACGACCTTGGCATTCAAGGATTGATTCCATATCTTTCATGAAACGGTCAACATCTAGGTCGACTTCTTTGAAATCCCTGCCCAAGTAAACCAAAGAGGAAACTTCAGAAAGATGACACTGGAGGAAGCAACGAGTTATGAATCATGGAAAACGGAATCCAGAGCTGAAAATACTCTACCCCTTTCTTAGAAAGAAAGGATCTTATTTCAATCAAGTGTGAACATCTCTACCAGAACCTTAAATCTGACAGTCGAAATTAGCATCAAGACGACGATATATAACATGACTAGTATCAAGGGAGGTAACCTGTTTTCTGGCACCTCCGCCCCCTTGTAGCTTGATACCTTGTGCACAAACTGTTGCATGGACTTTGCTACATCGCTAAGATCAAAATCATTCGTGTTTGTGGCAGATGAGCTTCCAGATTCCTCCATCTCTTTTGATTTCTGCTTGCTTTTGATCTTTGAGTTATATGTCTCCATCTCTTTCTGCCTCTCTTGAAGAGCGGAGTTCAGCTCATCTTCACCATCGTAGAGCCATGAATCATCGTCAGAAGGGGGAACTCCATGATCCTTGAAATCGTCTGATGAATATGGCAGAGCAAGAATCTCATCAATGCGCCTCACTGGAGCAGTCATAATCTCTCTGCAGATCAAAATCAAAATCACAATCTCAGTTCGATAATACTCCTTAACCAAATGCCTATTATCTTCATTCGTCAACCAAATGCCTAATATCACAACCGAGTTGATACAATGGAAGAATCAATACCTCGTCTTGGAAAACAAGCAACTTTTTCGATAGTACTCCTCGGCGTTCTCGATCAATCTTTTGTACTCCTTTGAACCCGGAATCAATCCTTCAAAGTACCCATTCTTCTCCAGATTCTCCTTATACTTGCTCCAAGTACTTCCTTTCCCTTCTTCTCCTTCTTTCTTCCTCCGCTGATACATCATCTCCAAGCCACACGTGATTTTCATCCCCAGCTCGGCTTCCACGAAAGCATCACGTTCGCTCATGCTGGGCATCGGATAAAACTTCGGCGCCTGAAAACTCTGCTGCACGAGCTGCGCGTACATTGCACGCGACATCTTCACAAGCACAAGCACCAGCTCCTCTTCTCTCCCCTTGCTAAGGAACTTCTCCATCTTCGCCGCGTACTTCATAGAATCCACATCACGATCGTAGAAGCCTTCCACAGCGAGCGAAATCAAGCAGGGCTCGTGTCTGAGCACCTGAGCCACCGACGTCGGAACCCTAACCCTAACGCGATGCATATTTCTCCACGCTCTTTCAGGATATTCGGCAATCCGGCCCTTCACCGCGGCCTGAACGGAATCCGGGGCTCGTGATTCGCCGCTACGTTCAACAAGAAACCGGAGGGAGTCAACTAAGGAAGGATCCAGGAGGCGCCTTCGTGGAACGATGTGGAGGTCGCCGCCACGAACGAAGACACGATTGCGGCTGGGGGGGGGGG